TTGGTCCAAAGGTTGAAGCAAAGCCGTCGTGTTGGGAGGTAATAATGTCCAAACCTGTATTGGTTCGGCCTTTGACATAAGCCGCCATATCGTTTAACAACATGCTTTAGACATAGTTGTAATAAGGTCTACATAATTTACTTTTTTATTAGTCCATTTGACGACGCGTTTACAAAAGATATTGGGTTGGATACCTATGGGAATCATTTTTATTTTTATTAATGTATATGTACCGATTAGATCCGCGAATAAAGATATCTTTAGCCGCGAATATAGGAATTGGGTCGCATTTTTTTAATCCGTGAATAGTGAAAACGCGAATGAAGGAAGCGCGAATAAGGAGCTTTTACTGTATAGTATTTGGGCAATCCAACTTCGGTAGGCGTTAGCAAAAATACATAATTACACATACAAAATTTTATTGAATCCGTTAGCACCGTTTCCGGTAAAACAATTATACATTATACAATAACATAATATTTAGAAGAATTAGTCGATCAAAGTATTAAGATATAATGACTATCGACAAGGAGATAGTGAGAGATGTGATGAGATGAGGTAAAACAGTAATGAAATTAAACTAAATGTTTATTGTTTTAAAAAACATTTTTAAGCTCTTAACCAAAAAATATAATAAGTTTGCTCTGTAGTTGAAATTTAGCCCATTTTGGTTGTTGCCGAATACTAAAGCGAAAGCGCTTTTCTTTGAATGTACAAATTAATATGGTATATAAAAATTGTGGGTTAAAAATTATTTATTGTAACAAAAGATATTTTTGAAAGTGTTCAAAGGTCAAATGAAAAATAAAATGTATCTAAACGTAGCTGACCTAAATGCAATGTAATAATCATAAAAAGATGGATGTGTAAAATAAAATGCGTATAGGAAAAATATTGCTCTTATGTCTGAGCTTAGTTGAGGTTCGTAGGAGAATCGAAGCGCGCCACAAACATCGTCGGTTCGCATGACGACACAAATCCGGATGATGTCTGTTTGTTATCAGCGCTGAGCAGTCGCCTGTATCTAGGGTTGCAATCCGCTACCGAATAATCGCATTATTTATTGAACGCGCTCGATTTGCTTTGTAGAAGATGTCTCTATGATATTAACTATGTTTAAAAGAACTATACGTTGTTTTCTGTACTCTCTTTACCAATTTATACCAAAATTTAGCTTATCTACTTAAATTCCCTTTTTTTCTTTCCTCCAAGACTTAATCTCGGAATAAGAAGTACTATTAAATAAATATTTAGTGCACTTCTTTTTTTTTAAACTTTATTATTGTGAATACAAATAATTTGCAATTAAAAATTTTGAACAACCGACTTCAATATAAATTATTAAGAATAACTCAAAAACTATTGGTCAGACCATGATCAAATTCATATGGGACCACATATTAAGCACCAGCTTGCAAATAAAAAAAAGTCATCGAAATCGGTTCACCCAGTAAAAAGTTATGAGGTAACACACATAAAAACATACATTCGAATTGAATATCGGCTCCTTTTTGAAGTCGAAAGAGAAAATAGAAATAAAGTCAAGCTAAAGTCTATATACGAGTACGTCCCACTGCTTGGGACAGGCTTCCTCTCACTTCCAAGTGGAGCAATTAGTCGGCCGCGTTGGTGGACTTCTCATGTCTTTAAATGTTTATATTTTTATTAATTAAATATTTTTATTTCTCGGACATGCAAGCTTCCTCACAATTCCTTTTTTTACTTTTCCTTCAACGCCTAGAAAGTGGTAAATCAGCACTCAATATTACGACTAAAAATTTAATTGATTCCTGTGGGGAACAAACCCCACGTTGCTAGCCTACTGTGAAAATTTACAGAGAGCTTTTAGCTCCTAAGCTACCACGGCAAAACACGATGTTATTTTGAAAAAAGTACCTATCCGTTAGCATAAAGGTACAGATTAACGAATTTTAGTAACCCTATATTGATTTTTAATTTGATTTGATTGATGCAAGAACTTAATAGGTACTCGTGTCGACAGGATATTATAACAAATTGAAAAAATACTTTAAGGATACCGTATATTGGTTTTTTACTTTGATTTGATTGATACAAGAACTTAAGAGGTACTCGTGTCGACTGGATATTATAACAAATAGAAAATACTTTAAGGATATTTTTATATAATATTATTTAGTTAACCTGACATAAAATAATCACAGCAAATAAAGCATGAGTTACTTCTAATTCCACTTTAATTCTGAGCAGAAATTCTCATAACTGAAATAAAATCTTAGTTCAACAATGTTATGCTAAAAAAAGTCGTAGTAACGATTTCAATTCGAATAATTTATGCTAAGAATGAAAGTTCTTGCTCATTAAGAAAAATATCCATATAAATGTGTCGACCCTGCATAACAAAGTAGTCACAGGAGACGGCACGGTGCCCCACCCTTATTTTATTTCTATTGCAACACGTATTATCCGCCTGTCAATATTATCGGCGATCGACTCGCAGCTTCTATAAAAATTGCTTCGATTCTCCGCGTTTTCTTGACCCGGTGATTGGTTTCTGTTTATTTATTATTTTATCAGTGTGTTCGGAAACTTAAATTATGTGAAATTGAACATAAACTCTCCTTTTATTTTGTTATTTTATAATAGAGGTAAAAGGTGATGATGTGTTAGTGTTTATATTTTTGGAGGAATTTGATTTAATTTCATCCCATAAATTTAAACTACTTTTATCAATAGACCAATGTTTTTAGCATACTGACTAATCTTATTTAGTAAATCTAATCGGACAGAGAAAAATCACCCGCGGTCCAGCACGCGCAAGACTGTAGTTTCCTTTATGTATTATTTTTTTAATAGAATGGGGGCACACATTCCACCTGATAATAAGTGGAGACTGTGGTCCAAAGACATTTATACATTTATACTCAATTAAGAATGAAAACGCAGATGCATTGTCACTCCTGAGGATTACAAATAATTAATTATATTTTTTTTCGTCCTCTTAATCATGTTGCATACTTAAATCGTTACGAATTCTAGTTTATTTGAGAACATACGTTTACTAATGCGTTTCGCTTTTAATATTTTAATAAATTAATATGACAATACCTAGTTATAATGTTCTCTGTATAACACTACATTATTTTAATCACTTATTTTCCTCTTAAAGGTAAGCCCTTAGGTAGTAGTTACCGTGTTGCGGCGGTGTAAGAATATCCACTACCACTTATCATCCCGTGGTTGTCGTAAGAGGCGACATAGGGAAACAAATTAGAAGATTAAATAAATATTTAATCTTCTAATTTGGCCGGCAACACATCTGCAATTCCCTCCCTGGTGTTGCATTTGTTCATGGGCGGCGGTAGTCACTTACCATCAGGTGAGCCGCATGCTCGTTTGCCCCCTCTCCTATAAAAAAAAGATGGGCAGCATCGTCTTCCTAATAATTACTAAAAATGAAAAACTGCGTTTGCCAACCCCAACTGCGGCTATCTAAGACAAATGCGGAGTATTTTCTTATTTTTAAATTAAAAAAATTTTTCAATTAAAGGAGGTGATTAACAAATACTAACTGTTTGCAAATAATATAGCAAAATCTTTGCTTCTTTTCTCTTCTGTAGACCAGGGCGTTACAAGCGGACAGTTAATCTTTTATTTTATTTTTTTACATAAGTTACGCTATAATTATACAAATAGAGCTGATGACAACCCTTTAAATAGGCCTCTAAATGTCCTGCGAAGTTTTACTCTTTAAAATAAGCCTTCTATCGAATAATGTACAAAACGTATTAATATTTATTAATACGAGTATATGATCAGCAGGAGCAGTCGACATGCGAATAAAAATATATTTTTGGTTGGACTTTAATTTTCATACAAATTAAAAATAAGTTACATCACGCAAATTATCCAGTCATCGATTTTGAAAAATATCTATTGTAGTTAAGATTCGAACGCGCTCATTTGCAAAAAATATTAATTTTATTTTATAATTTGCCTGTAATTTTGCAAAAATCAATAGAGTTTTTAATAAAGATCAAGTCTGGAACACAATGTGGCAGATTAACGGAGAAATCGAAGGATTAATCTTGAATGTATCTTGTAAACAACTTTTACAAAAATATAATACTAGATTTTTCTGGTGTTCCTACAGATCCGGAACAATTATTTGTAGGACATACAAACACATGTTCCGTATGGGATTCATATGCCAAATAGTCAAAATTAAATAAAAATTGTCTAATGGATAACAGAATACTAAAATATGATATTATTTATTTTAGTTTTTTTTTTTTGAATTTATTGCTATTATATACTTAAGCTTCATTTACACAAAAGCGTACAGAAAGGATGACTTCAAACCACTGAGCACATTAAAGTTAAAAAATACACAGTATTCGAGAAAGTTTCAAATTTGTATACATATACCATATTATTATTACTTATTTTAAATTAACGAAAACTAAAAATAACCATAGTAATTGCACTTCTTTTGCCTTAAACAAGACATAAATGTACTTTATTTTATTTTATTTTCTAAACAGTATTTGTTTCGGCCTAAATCGATAATGAGCATCTTTTGATCAAATATCTCTTATAGATTTTCTTCATACTGCCCTCTTTCTCTCGCACTGTATTTCATTGTCTTACAACATTATTAAATGTGCGCTGTTAAAATATTCAATAAAAATTTGTGATAATAAAAAACAATATATGAATATTATATACGCAGTATTTGTAAATTTTCATAAAATGGTCAAGATCCTCATCGAAATTAAGGTCTTTTGGAAAATGTGAAACAAAAGACTTAATTTTGTACATTAGGTAACAAGCATGTCAATCGTCAATATGCTTTTCTACATCCTTGTATATTAATTACAACTTATTTTGTGACGTTTATTATAAAGCTAAGAATGAATATTTCCTAATTTTCGAAATTTTGTTGTTTATTTTAATTTTAATACTACATTAATGAAAATTCAAAGAGTGAGGATTAATTATAATCAAGGAAATCAACTTACTTGAACAGAAGGGGTTTGTTGGCGAAGAGGCCTGAGGCCTTCTCTTTCGCGGCTTGGAGCCCCTGCATTGCTGACGGCCGATCTTCCACATCAATTTTTTCTCACACTATGCTAACACCTACAAGTAAACCTTACTGTTAAATAAATAAAGTTATACCTTTATTGAATGGTCTAGCTTTATTAAATAAAAATGTAGCTTACGTATTCACTTTAACGATAATATTTGTAAAAAAGCATTAAATTAATGAAAAATTGTTTCTTATTGCCTAATAGAAATATAATTTAAAAAGCATAAAAATAATCAATTTAAAAATTTAAAAATATCATTCTACTGTAATAAAGGCTCACTCAAAGGCTAAGTATGGCTATTCAGTGGGGAGTAGGACTGTATGACTGCTTTGAATTTTAATTATAGTTTTTTTTTTGTTTACTATAATAGTAAATATTATAAAACAAAATGTAATATAATGTAATAAAATGTACAAATAATATTTTATTCCAAATAACTATGCGCATATTCGCACGTATAAACGTTTATGTATGCATTTGTACAATATATACATATATATATATATGGATATATAATTGACATTTAGACTAACAAAAAGAATAAAGTCACAAAAATGTTGATAGCAGTGATTACATAATTTGGTGGCTCAATGAATTCTACTTACATTTTTTCAGTCCCCTGGCGTAACAGATCCGTAGCAGCTTCTGTCTACGGCGTAGCGCCCCGCGCGCCTCTGCCGTAGACCTACGGCTGCGCGTAGCCTCTACCTCCATTGGTCGATAACTCAACGGAAGTAGACAATCTGCAGCCAATAGCAAACCGTACTGTAAAGGGGCGGAGTCATGTAACATTTCTGAAAATTTTCAGGAGGTCCAAAAGTACATAGAGCTTACATCAACCCCATCAATGCTCCGGCACGAATTTCGTAATCAATAGATATATGCATTACAAATGGAAACGTACATAATATGTGTATTATTTTTCTTACTACAGCTAACAAATCACTCTTTATCCGTAAAATTATATATGAACCTATATATAGAAGGCTAATCTTATGTTTATTATTTAAACTAACATTAACCGCAACATAAAGCGCATTGGCTTTCATTATTTAAGAAGTAGGCCGTTTTGATTCAAGAGTCGAAGAAAATATTTCGCCTTAGCAATATTATCAAATGGATACCACGTAGGAAAAATTGTCGTTGAGAGAATGGTTGAACATATAAAACTCAAAATAATTACGTGGACATATATTCACAAACTCCTTAGACACACAATTTTGGAAAATAATGAAATATTTTAAATTTATAATTTACACAACAAAATTTTTCTATGGCCGACAAGATGGTTGTAAAAATAAAAAGATAAAGAACCAAGATGTATATTGTAGAGTATGTGTAGCATTTTAGAATATTTATGTTTTTAATTACCGAAAATGTGTGTTTGTTAATCTTTGACAATTCAAATTTTAAATTAAGATGAACTCGTAAAATTAAATTGCCTTCTTTTGAATATAAATGGATTTGGGAAATCAAAGTTAATTTAACTTGCACAAACTTTCACACTAAACTCTCAAAATCCAATAAAAAGCTCAAGATTCATAAATGCCTCGCCGGTAACTTTTTAGATTAATTTTGATGACATTTTCTACAAACCCTGTTAGTTTTTTTATCATTAGTGTACATTGCAAAACCATAAATTTTTCCTGGTTATGCGATGTTAAATAATTGCAGCCGCTCCAGGGTGAGTGGTAGACCAGATCCTGTCCTTGCGAGGATTTAGATCTTGTCTTACTTTATTGTAAAAAAATAGTTTGATCGTAGAATACGATAATTTTTCCAATTTGAAATTGTACAGCGTTGCACAAGCAAACGACTACTCTGAAGAGGGATTTTTGTCATTGTCCGTAAGCAATGCGCTTTTCTGAGTTTATACAAGACCATTTGAAAATATTATTTGATCTATACGCTTTATGCTACAGCGACTAATTCCTAACTATCACACCATTTTTCTCACTTTTGCCTTTAGATAGTAGACTAATTTTTGTTTGATAATTTGTCAATGCTTAGAAGTTTTATCAATCATTGCGTTCAGATGCGTTATCATCTTTCAGAACTAAGTAAGAAAGACTTCCTCGGTTTCAGTACAAAAGAGTGTCCGGTTCTTTACACTCGTTATAACAAAATAAATATATTTATATCAATTTTAAGCCAACAAACAATGCGGGAATAACAAAGAAAACGCAAAACGTTCCAAAGTTCCGATAACTACAGTTTAATAACCGTCTAAAGTATTTTCAAGAATGCAACTAGCATGCATAACATAATTAATAATTAATGTGTTAAACATTTTATCCCAATTATCAATTTTTTCATCTTGCCATAAATATTAATCTTGGCATATGAAATGACATTTAAATACTGTCGTCATTTAACATGGATAATATTTAACATTATTAGTAACCGTGATCTGGAGGCTACGTAGTTTAGGATTTCTCTAAATTATTTCTAAATTGTGAAATTTTTTACTATACGAAAATCTTTCTGATACTACCTCAAGCGTAGAGTGAGTATAGTTGAATATATATGTAGAAATAACTCTCACGCGTTCATTTCTTTGTGGTTAGTGCAAAATTTCCAAAACAAAAAAAAAATTATATATAACGCTGACTTTTTTTATATAATAAAGTAACTAGGCCAACTCATTGTCGACCTGGGTATTTTAAATCATGAGTAAATTAAGTTATATCGCTATCTATCGAAAGCCTTGAAATGTTTCGTACATAATTTCTAGACAAAATGGGATGACGGTTTCATATTACATTAGTGGTATATTTTACTACATAATAACACAAATAATCCTTTCAGTAACAACAACAACTCTTTAATAAAATGCGTGCTAGCTGAGGCACTCTTAATTATGTCTAAAAAGCTTAATTATGTTCAGTAGTACACTAAAAGGGGTAAAGGTACTTTAGAATATACTTTTTTCAATTTTATTATTAACTGCCTAATTAAATCTTCATAGTCACGATAACTATCGACGCTTTTCGGCTCGATGAGATAACTGAGCTTCCATCGCACGCATATTACTTTATAAACGATTTCAATTATTGTGACCTTATCAGCCTGACGGAAGTTTCTTGACCAAATTGACAATATATTGAAGACGGAACAAATTAAGAGTAACCGATTGAGAAGCGATTAGTCGCAGAGCATCTATGCGTAGGTATAATATGTATGTAAATTAAGCGAGAGAGGTGTGTCAGGATCGTGCTAAATGGAAGTCGGTAGTATTTACTACTCACTGCGTGACGGGCGTGATATATGTTTTGAATTAACCAAGAATACATACTTCTGAACGCAACAGCAATTATTTTTATTTTCTTTCAATTATTTTAAAAGTAAAGTCAACGTTAATATCTCATTTCTGACAGGGTAATGGAGCAGTTAATCCGACGCATTGCTAATATTCCTGTTAGCAGTCTTCATATGTCAACGAAATATTTTCATTGCAGACATGCCGATTTTGTTCATGATTTTTCCTTCACCAACCAGCATGTGGTAAGTCAGCACTTAAAACTGCAGTAAAAAATTGCAATGGTGGCGACGGAAACCGAGCTAGGGTCCTTGAATACTATAAAGCTTACGGCGAGCGTTCAACAGTAAATTATTTTTCTTCAGTAACAAAATTTCAAAATTTTGTTACTGAAGAAAACCATGATAGCTCAGGTAATAAATGTTCGCCGTAAAATTCACATATCTGTAGTTGCATGTAATTTTATGTGCTCCTTTACCACGTGTTCAGTGAAAAATATTTCGAACGAATTTGTATTTTGCTGACAGTTTTTTAGGCAAGCGTCAAACTTCTATTCCTGTTCCAAAAAGCCTATTAGAAATAAAAAGAAGACCTGTATCGCAGCAAGGACACATATGCAAACCTTTGATTACTTTGTACCCTGAAAATTTTAAGAAAATTACAAAAGATTTCATTGCAAAACTTTTATGTAAATTTCACTGGTAGGTATGAATCACTCGTTATAGAACAAATCGACTATCTACCCCGTCCCGTAATCTCGGTCGACATGATATCGGCGCAATATCGGGCCGACTTCATTTCACGGCCAGAGGAGCCCGCAAATGAAGTTTCCCCGGTCCAACGAGCCCGAACCTTTGAATCAGACTCAATTTATTATTAGAATTTTTGTAATGGATATGGTATTATTACGATTGCATACACATTCGATATTAATTTATAGTAGCGATTTTTTCTTTCATTTCTAAAAATATTATTTCTAGTATTATACGGGAGCTAAAAGATGGTGTTTTTTTTTCGTATGTTATTTTAATTATTTAGTGTATGAGCTACAGGAGTGATCCTATATGAATTTGAAGAAGAAATTCCATCCTTTATAGAGGAAAAATAAGGAATGAAGTTTTAAACGCAACCGTTTAGACGACTTAGACGTAGACGAAACGATTGCCCTAAAACCCTCTCAGAAATAAAAGGAAGCCAGTGCCCATCAGTTAGAAGGCTGTAACTATAACTTTAACTTTTAATCTAATCAAAAAATCATATGATTCATTCTCAAAGTTAATAAATATAAACTTTTAATAAAAAAGTATAAACCGACTTAAAGAAATAAAAAAAAACAATTGCTTCATAATAGTTTCAGAAGTCAGGGCTTTAATTTGTTTTAATGTTTGTTCGGTTTCTACTTTTTTCATGCATTTTGGCAACAAACAGTCATACTTCTTAACATATAGGTTACATTTTACATTTACATGTGACAAAAAAAACCAAATGGTGCCAATAAATCTACATTAACAAACCATATTATTTACATTGTGAGACAACAACAGTTTTTATTATAAGTGTAATCTTTTAAATAATATTTATATTATGAAAAATAAAAGAGAATAAATTGAAAAAGCTTAAAAGATAATTTTGTATGTGTTCAATCTCACCTTATATTTAAATAAAAATTAACATTGTCAGTTAAGTAGGCATATATATATAAAAAATATATTTGAGTAAAAATTCGTAGCTCTGGTAAGC